GACATCTCTACAAAAAAAAAGAAAAGAAAAAAATAGATTCCCAGAAGGGAAATTGTTAGACAGTTGCATAGGAAAATAGGAAACCAGGAGCCCGTGTGGGCCTGAGGACAGAGGTGGACCTGTAACAATGTTCTGAGCATTTGCTGTGGGTCAGGCTATAGGCTGGATGCCTTGCGGCCCAGAGTTATGTCCACTTTACAGATGAAGAAACTGAGGTCTGGGAAAGTTCATTTACTCGTGTGAAGTTGCCTAGGTGGGAAGCAGCCAAGCCAGGATTTAGATTCCATAGCGTTTGAATCCTAAGCATTTCCCAGCAGACCAGGATTCTTGTGTAAGCTGATGTCTCAACAGCGAATAATTAAGGGCTTGCCCTGTACCCAGCTGGGAACTCTAACCACTTGGCTTAATTTGCCTGTTTAAAAGGGTCCCAGGAGGGGCTTAAAGAAGATGCTAAGAGTGGCCATACCAGTGGGGCTGTTGCCCCTGCAGTGTGCATGGAGGGTGTGTGACAGGCATGTGCCTTTGGAGAGATGGCCCCTGCATCACCTAGAAGGTCTCCCAGAGAGCTACCTTTAGATTCCTGGTTCCTGGGCATCTTTTATCTCACTGGTAGTTTAGTCAGTACCCAACCAGATACTCTTAGGAGAAGGAGGTTGCTACTTGGGGTGATCTAAGAAGGCTTCAGGGAGAGGAGGGCTTGTGCTTTGAAGCGAGGAAGAGAGTCCCTGTGACCCTCCTCTGAGCCAGGGATTCTCCTCTCCCAGGTATGTGGAGCTGGTAAACGCTGCCTGTAACTTCAAGCCACACGAAAGCTTCTTCAGCCTCTTCTCAGACCCCCGCAGCACCCGCCTCACCCGGATTCACCTCCGCGAGGACCTGGTACAGGACCAGGACCTGGAGGCTATCCGCAAGCAGGTGAGGCCTGCCCCACCACGGGAGCGCCACATGCCAAGCAGGGGCCAGGCCACTTGCCTCCAGCCCGGCCATCCCCAGTCCCGCCAGTGCTCGCCTGACTATGCACATCCCCCTTTCCAACCCACCTGTAGCCCAGGACGAGGCCTGGGGTGGGGGGAAGGGGCAGGGGTGGTGATGATGATGGAGCTGTGCCCACTCCCAGGACCTGGTGGAGCTGTACCTGACCAACTGTGAGAAGCTGTCCGCCAAGAGCCTGCAGACACTGAGGAGCTTCAGCCACACCCTGGTGTCCTTGAGCCTCTTTGGCTGTACAAACATTTTCTATGAGGAGGAGAACCCAGGTGGCTGTGAAGATGAGTGCCTCGTCAACCCCACCTGCCAGGTGCTGGTTAAGGACTTCACCTTCGAGGGCTTCAGCCGCCTCCGCTTCCTCAACTTGGGCCGCATGATTGATTGGGTCCCCGTGGAGTCCCTCCTTCGGCCACTCAATTCCCTGGCAGCCTTGGACCTCTCAGGCATTCAGACAAGCGACGCCGCCTTCCTCACCCAGTGGAAAGACAGCCTGGTGTCTCTCGTGCTCTACAATATGGACCTGTCTGATGACCACATCCGGGTCATCGTGCAGCTGCACAAGCTGCGGTGAGCTGCTGGCCCGGAGCTTACCAGGGTGGGGTGGCTGGGCAGGTGGGGAGGAGTAGAGGTAGGTGTTGTCAGGCCCTCAGGGTTCAGGAGCCCTTGGCCAGGCAGAGTGTGGGGATGAAGACAGTCCCATTCCTTAAACCCAGCATTTCAGCTGGATTGGGGCTGTTCAGGTTTCTTCCCAGAATGCCCTGGAGCAGTCGTGGCAGGTGTAGGCCCTCCCCTACTAGGGACTAAAGGATCAGGGGTCTGCAAGGCAGCCCCACCCTGTACCCAGCTCCTGACCTGCACCCCCTACCCCAATCTCCAGACACCTGGACATCTCTCGAGACCGCCTCTCCAGCTACTACAAGTTCAAGCTGACTCGGGAGGTGCTGAGCCTCTTTGTGCAGAAGCTGGGGAACCTGATGTCCCTTGACATCTCTGGCCACATGATCCTAGAGAACTGCAGCATCTCCAAGATGGAAGAGGAATCAGGGCAGACCAGGTGGGGCCCCACCCTCCATGGCTATTGGTAGGGTGCCATTCAACCTTAAATGCCATTCAAAAGCATTTAAGATGGGCTCAGTGCCTCGTGCCTGTAATGCTTGCGCTTTGGGAAGCCAAGGTGGGCAGATCACTTGAGGCCAGGAGTTGGAGACCAGCCTGGCCAACATGGTGAAACCCCATTTCTACTAAAAATTCAAAAATTAGCTGGACATGGTGGTAGGCATCTGTAGTCCCAGCTACTTGGGAAGCTGAGGTAGGAGAATGGCTTGGTCTCAGGAGGCAGAGCCTGCAGTGAACTGAGATCATGCCACTGCACTCCAGCCTGGGCCACAGAGTGAGACTTTGTCTCAAAAAAAAAAAAAAAAGTATTTGCCACTTACTCCTCCGCCAAGTGCTGTGCTAGGTGCTAGAGATAAAGAAATGGATCAGGCCCTGCTCTCTTGGAGTCTGTGCGAGCTGGTGGGGACGGACAAGTCATTACAAGGGCTATGGTAGGGGCAGTCCAGGGCCCTGGGGTTGCCTGAGGATCAGGAAGGAAGGAGGGGGAGGAATGCATCCTGGCTGTCCCGAAAGCTCATTCTGCCTTTGCCAGAGGAAGGGTGTTCTTGCAGAAGGAACAGCACATGCAAAGGCCAGGAGGTGAGAGCACGAGGGGCAACTGGGGAACCATCTGATTCCCAGCCTCACAGAGCACACCATGGAAGAGGCGAGGCTGGCAGTGTCTGCCACCTAGGAGGTACTACAGGAGATAGGTCAGTTCCTGGGTTGGTTGGTTGAGAAGTTTGACCAAACCCTACCAGCTGTAACTGGCCATACATAAGCCCACGCCCCAGCCCACTTTAATGGTGTTCAGTTGATAAGCTTGTCCCTTTGTGATTGTTGGCGAGACCTAAAGCTTGCCATGCCCTTACTAGAATGGCAGGTGGTTTCTAAAGGTGGCTGCATCACCCATCCTGTGTATTCTCCTACTATGTAGCCTTGCCACCCTTCCATCAGGAGGTGGTGTCTGTGTCCCCTACCATTTTAAAAAAAGAGTGGGGGGGATGAGGTTGGAGGGCCTAGAAGAGAAAGCAAGTAAATGCCTCGCCACCCCCAGGGGGAGGCCCAGCTCAGGCTTGGACCCCAAGCCGTTGACCCCGGCACCCTCTTTCCCCAGCATCGAGCCTTCCAAGAGCAGCATCATACCTTTCCGGGCTCTGAAGAGGCCGCTGCAGTTCCTCGGGCTTTTCGAGAACTCTCTGTGCCGCCTCACGCACATTCCAGCCTACAAAGTGAGCTGCGGGAGAGGGATGGGGCAGTGCCAGGGAGCTCTGGGAGAGGGAAGGAGCTGGGTTCTGGGGCTGGAAATGGAGCTGGGATCTAGCATCCCAGCCCTTGGCCTCTTGTGGGTTGTTCTGAGCATGTCCCACCCGCAGGTAAGTGGTGACAAAAATGAGGAGCAGGTGCTGAATGCCATCGAGGCCTACACGGAGCACCGGCCTGAGATCACCTCGAGGGCCATCAACCTGCTTTTTGACATCGCACGCATCGAGCGATGCAACCAGCTGCTGCGGGCCCTGAAGGTCAGCCCGAAGCCGAGGGCCTCGGCCTCCTGTCCCTCACCACCTGGAGGGTTCCGGACTTGGCCGAGCCGTGTCCCCAGAGCCCCTGTCCCTCTGCACCTGTCCCCAGGGCCCCAGGACCCAAACCCCAGCCTGGGCCTCACAGCACTTGACTTGCTTCAGCACTGGCCTTGTTCGGTCCCCACCCTGGTGTCTGCTCCCCAGGCCCCACTTCTGCCTTCAGAGAGCAAGACCAGGCTAAATCCTGCCTCAGAGAGCCTGTTCCAGCCCCTCGCAGAGTCCGGGCCCCTCCCTGCACTTGCCAGCCCAGGTCCCCCCTGTCTTCATACAGCTGGTCATCACGGCCCTCAAATGCCACAAATATGACAGGAACATTCAAGTGACAGGCAGCGCCGCCCTCTTCTACCTAACGAATTCCGAGTACCGCTCAGAGCAGAGTGTGAAGCTGCGCCGGCAGGTCATCCAGGTGGTGCTGAATGGCATGGAATCCTACCAGGAGGTGACGGTGAGCCCCCACCCGCCACGGCCTGCATGCTCTGGCCCAGCCACCCCCTTCCTGCTTCTTGCGTCCCGCCAGGGCTCCCCTGGCTCTGGGCTGCATCCCTCCCAGCTGCCTTTCCCACAGCAATACTCCCTGACTCTTGGGACCTGGCCCTTCCGGAAGTCCATTACCCCTGGCTGCCCTCCATCCTCTTCCTCCCTGCCCCATGTAGGGTGGGGGCTCAGGGACCCTGACCTTCTCCCTGCCTGTGCCGCCTCCTCAGCCCTTCTGCCCATACACTCTGCTGGGGGATTTTTTACCAACAGCTGCTTTAAAAGTAATAAAAGCTTTTATTATAGAAAAGTTATAATTACAGATATACGGAAAATAAAAATCACCCATAAACCCACTACCCAGAGATAGGCATCAGTAACATGGGATATCTGTTGTTGTGGATTTTAGCCTATGCACACGTATTTTGTAAATGGGATACACAAACTGTGTGTACTGTTTGTATACTGTGGATTTTTACTTCAGCTGTGTCATGTGAACATGAACATCTCCCTTATCAGCCAACACTTTTTTTTTTTTTTTGAGAGGGAATTTCACTCTTGTTGCCCAGGCTAGAATGCAATGGCACAATCTCAGCTCACCACAACCTCCACTTCCCAGGTTCAAGCGATTCTCCTGCCTCAGCCTCCTGAGTAGCTGGAATTACAGGCATGCGCCACCACGCCTGGCTAATTTATGTATTTTCAGTAGAGATGGGTTTTGCCATGTTGGTCAGGCTGGTGTTAAACTCCTGACCTCAGATGATCCACCTGCCTCAGCCTCCCAGAGTGCTGGGATTACAGGCGTGTGCCACCACACCCAGCCCAGCCAACATATTTTTATAACAAAAAAGATTTTTTTCATTTCAGATGGACAGTATGCCAACGTCATAACAAGGTTTGAGGGAGGCACATTTTACACATAAGCATGAAGATCTAATCATCACTCTCATAAACTACAAAAGGATCAAACAATAATTTTTTTTTAATTAAGACAGGGTCTCAGGCCGGTTACAGTGGCTCATCTCTGTAATCCCAGCACTTTGGGAGGCTGAGGCGGGCGGATCATGAGGTCAGGAGATCGAGACCATCCTGGCCAACATGGTGAAACCCCTTCTCTACTAAAAAAAAAAAAAATAACAAAAATTAGCTGGGTGTGGTGGTGTGTGCCTATAGTCCCAGCTACTCAGGAGGCTGACGCAGGAGAATCGCTTGAACCCGGGAGGCCGAGGCTGCAGTGAGCCAAGATCGTGCCACCGTACTCCAGCCTGGGTGACAGAGCAAGACTCTGTCTCAAAAAATAAATAAGTTAGTTAATTAATGAATTTAAAAAGCTACCTAATGCTTAAAAGATGAAAAAATTCAAGTGATACAAGAATGCGTTAAATAAAGCGAAAGCTACTCACAATCTCACCTCTCCTCACCTAGATACAACTGGTGTTAAGGTTCACTTTCATATTGTTGACACCAGCATATGTTCAGTGTCCCCATCCAGGAAGAGGCCACTATGTGGAGGACTCTGCTGGAACCTGGAGTCAGTGGCCAAGCCCCATGCCCATGGGGTGCAGGTTAGCACTCTGCCAGTGTATGAAACAGCCCCCAGGGCTGAATAATTTAGGTTGCTGTTTCATCTTTTGCTCTCTCAAGCAATGCTTTGTTAATTATACTTAGTGGGACTCCATGTTTGGATACCCCTTCCACAAACACTCTCGTGGAAGCTGTTTCTCTATCCTGGATTTTTCCCTCTGGAGCCCCCTTCCACACACTCTCACGGAAGCCTGTCTTCCCCTCCTAAACTCCATCTCTCTGTCTATTCCATTCCTCTCAGTGTGGAAGCTGCTTTCCTCTCCTGGATTCCATCTTTCTGGATTCTCTCACTCAGTGTCACAGTTAGCTGTTTCTTTCTCTCTCCTTCTCTGGTTTCTCTCTCTTTCTCTCTAAATAAATTACTTTCTACAAAAAAAAATTATACTTAGTTAGTTATCCTTATAATACATTTTTTGAAGTAGAATTTCAGGGGCAATATGTGTGTGTGTGGCATGTGTGTGTATTTTTTCTTTCTTTCTTTCTTTTCTTTTCTTTTTTTTTTTTTTTTTTTTTTTTTTTT